TGACAGACAAGCAATAGATAAACTTTGAAGTAAAATTGGTTGAAATGATTGGCCTTTGACCTATGCACGATTGTACAGCAATTTCTTAAAAATACATTGGCATATTTCAATTAAACATCACACATGATAATTTGGTTATGTCAGCTCACAGTAGCTATGTCATGTGAACTCACAGAGTAGTGTTCTCCCCAGAAAATTGTAAATTGTCTAAGGGTTGCGGCTAATTTGCATATTAATTTGCAAACTAATTAACATAATGTGTACTAGAAGCTATATTTTTTTAAATAAACAAGATTTACTGTATACATTGAAACACATTTAGTTAATTTTAACGGGATATATTGCCAAAAACATATTTAGTTAATATTGTTACTTGTAATTGTTTACAATTATAAACAATTCATGAATGAGGTTTTGAAAAAAAAATTGTAACTATGAAATCATTATCTTTAAATTTGTGAATTTGACCGGCTCCCTCTCTAATCCTTTGTTTTACTGCTCTCTTAATATCTTCGCGCATGTGCTGGTAATTTGCATACCACATTTCAACAGCAAAAAAACATGGCCGCCGTTAGGAACTATACACATCTAAGTTGGAGTCTGTTTATTTTTATTTATTTTGCTCAAAATCATAGTTAATGCTAGCTAAACATTAAAACTGAACTCCTGAATTAATCAGTAGGGAAATAAATAGCTGATTAGGAAAATGTTCGATTTACCGATACACTTCTTTCATTGTGTCTGGTCTTCCACAGCACGGTCAAAGATGAAGGTCGGTCACGGATGTAGTCAATGTGTTAATGAATGAACACCAAAAATAGTAAATGTGCTTAACAGATTCACAATAAAACTTGGTGTGATTTTTTCAGCATTACAGTCAACCTATGACCTTTGTGGGCAATCTCTTAGAGTTTCGGCATAAATTATAGGGTAGCGGCCTGCTACGCTAAAATGCTCTGGGGAAAACACTGCAGGGGCAGGGTCATGTCAACTCACATCAACTCACAGGTGCTAAGGTCATTTCACCTCAAAGGAGGCTAAACCCATGTCAACTTGCAGGGGCAAGGTCATGTCAACTCACAGGGGCTATATCATGTCAACTCAGTGTCTAGGTCATGTCAACTCACAGGGGCTATGTTATGACAGCCCACATGGGCTATGTCACGTCAACTCACAGGGACAAGACCCATGTCAACTCAGAGGCAAGGTCATGACAACTCACTGGAGTTGTGTCTTGTCAACTCACAGGGGCTATGTTATGTCAACTTACAGGAGCTACATGTAGGTCATGTCAACTCATAGGGGCAAGGTCATGTCACCTCACATGGGCTAGTCAAGTCAACTCACAGGGACTAGACCCTTGTAAACTCACAGGGGCAAGCTCATGACAATTCAATGGGGTTGTGTCTTGTCAACTCACAGGGGCTAGGTCATGTCAATTTACAGGAGCAAGACCCATATCAACTCGCTTGGGCTAGAGCAGGTCATAACAACTTACTAGGGCTATATTTTGTAAACCCACAAGACGTAGGTCATCACAACCCACATAGGCTAGGTCATGTCAACTCACAGGGGCTAGGTCATGACAACTCACATGGGGCTAGGTCATGTCAACTCACATGGGGCTAGGTCATGTCAACTTACAGGCGCTATCAATTACTTGATCAACCTGGTTTTGTGAATTTTGCAGAAACTTCATTCTACTACCAGTAACCATCGAAAACGCAGCAAGGACAAGACAAAAAAGTGACTTGTCACAACCCATTCGATATTCACCACCAATTGGAAACAATCATAATGGAATCGAGTATGCTGATACAAGACAAATAACTGAAGAAATATTTCCATTTGGATCTGTATACCAAAAAGGTCAGAGGTCGGAAGGTCAAAGAAGCATCCCTGAAACCAATCATAAAAGACCAAGTGTGTTATCTCAAAATTTAGCCACATCAATTGGAGCTATTGTTTCTCAGACTTCATACCAATCAAAATATGATCATAGTGTAAACTATGCAGACCAATCAAATCAAGCAGCTGCATCAGCTGATATTTATACATATAGAACAGCCAATCAGAACAATTCTAATGTTAATATGCTTTATAACACTGATGATGTAAATTATGAAAGAGGACAGTTTGTATTGGATTATCTAGCTGCACATGATGAAATGTTAACACCAGGACCAGTATTACATCCAGCAAATAGAGTACAAGATGACAGGTGAGAATAAACTGTAAAGCAGTGTTCGGAAATCTTTTCTGCAACTCACAACCCAAAGTCCACTATGAATCTAATATTTTACCAAACTAATCACTGTGGTCAAGACTGATCATTAAACTGTGCATGTGCGCTTTTTGTTGTTACCTCCAACGTACCAGTTACCTCACACATACCATGTGTTACTGACCAGTTAACAGACACATATCTGTGTCTTACTGACCATTTTCTAACTTCATTATATCTTTTCATTAGGTCAAAAGAAAGCATTGCATCCAGGGAACCGCCAGGTTCTCCGCAAGAAAATGATGATGTGACATCAGAAGATATTCGCATGATTGGTGCATCACCTGGTTACAATCATGAATTATCAACCGAACTCTGAATCATACTCACGTATGATAAACTGAATAATTCTAGCCTCTATAATTTGATCTGGTCAGTCTGCCCTCTAAGCATGACTTTAAAACCCATCACCCAAACCGTCTATAGATATTTCAGGGGAGTTTCTTGTACTTTTGAAGGCATTTAGTTATTCCTGTCAAAAATACTGCACAAAATTTGTAACAGGAAGGGGTTCCATGCTCCTATTTTCAAATGGGATGTGCTAAGAAGGTTGGAGAAAGTTTATTACGCATTGTGTGAATGTGGTACACTGTAGTTATTGTTCTCTCTAATTTACATGTTAAAATTGCGCCAGATGGTTCTATACACAAAATCTGCATAACAATCAACTTCAAGAATTAACTCAAAGATTTATTACACCCCAAATCCAATGACCGACATCATGTTCCAGATATCTCAATGAGCAACATGTCTGTCAGATCTACCGGTGTGCGAGCCTTTGTGGTTTATTCTTGTAAAACCTATTCAGTGTTGTATCTTTGATGTAATGTGATCTATTTAAAACTATTTAAATAATTTATGAGAACAAAAGGGTATGAATGTCCTAGGTGGTTCATGAAAACTAAGAATTTTTACTTGAGAAAACGAGTCAGACGAAAGTCTAACAATGGAGTATTCTGATTGGTCGAGAAACACTAGGTAGGTTTAAACTTAAAATTCAGAAATGTTATGATGAATTTGTAGCAAGAAAACACAAAACAGTGTTGTATATTTATATAAGTATATTTGCCGGAGTATTTCTTTTCACTTGTCTGACAAAATTTTGTTAGCTGCTAGAGATCTGTCCAAAACAGTGTGGACTTTTAAGCCGTCCATGATCTGATGTCATTTAAGTCGTTTGAACTGGCAGGCATTTATTAGCAGGCATGTCAATATGCTTTTCTGTGCAGTTCAATTATCTGATACAAATTAAAGTGTTTTGTGATTTAATTTAATACAGTTACACATTTGACAATATGATTGAAAATATGCTCTGATCGACCACCTCCTGTAACAAAAATGTAAATATTTGCAATAGTGTTTTGGAAGTTAGTTTTAAATTCTGGCAGTGAAATGTTCTTGCAGGTACATACATCAGGTAAACTCACTTTTGTTGTCATGACGACACAAACCAATTTACAAACAAATAATTCAATTGGTTTAAATTTGATTCATTTCTACTTTTATATGTAGTACTGTTTTCAGAAAATTATTGACTATTATAAACATTTCTAAGCTAAGGTAAAACCTACATTTGTGCCAGAACCACATTTTACCAAAATACCAATGATGTAACTTTACTAGGGTAGCCTAGATTCTACTGTAAAATATTCACTGCTAGAAATGTTTTGTGTTTTCAGGATTTTATGACAATGTTGAAGACAAAATTTAGTGGAAATCACCGACACTCTACGCTGTAGAACCCGATATACTGCTACAAATTTTCCCAGACTCGCGAAAATGTCTTTCTTGTGATATGAGAACTCTAAAAAAAACATAGTCACAGTGGTTAGTTTTTAGTCATACAAATATAATCAAGGTTTACATACCATGTGTGAGCTTTACAGCCAATCAGATTTGAACAAAACTTTATATCCATTGTTCATTTTAAATACTGTCTGTACAATGTGAGATTGCTGACTGATCACATTCATTGACCCATGTAGCATATGCATTAATTGTAGAAGTATCTGAAATACTAGTCTAGGTCCAAGTGGAATTTCATAATCAATTGATTCATGCCCAGGGATATTAATATATAGTATTATTTTTGAAGGAAAATGGCGACATCAGATCAAATGCATATTTCTGTTTTCTGATTTTTCTAAGCGCTTATTTGTTTTTTTAAATCTTAAAAAATCTCGTCTTCCTTAAAAACTTTTTCTTTATTGCAATGATGCGTTATATCTTAAAGTACTGGCATTGATGGTTTATATATTTGAATGACTACAATTTATTTATTACAACATTGGTCAAATTGGGTATATATATCAGTGAATACACACTGCCAATCTAAAGCTATACACATTTCAATATATCAGCTCAAGAGGGCACTTTTAAATAAACCAATCCTTGTCTATAATACTAGTAACTGACAGATAGCATAATTATGGTTCCCCTTAAATGCAATTTTTAAAGGAGTTGAAAACTGAATTGTTGTTCAATATTTTAGGAGGCTCTGTGATAATAGTAGTCTGTATAAATTCTATAACTTAACAAAAAGCTATTCATATTTATCTGCTTCCAACAGTTTTTCAATATTGCATTTTTTGAATAAATTAAAATGATGCATATCTTCTAGTGGAACTGGGCAGCTGTATTAAACTACTTAATACTTTTATCTTTTTTAATTTATCGCAATATTCTTTGATTCTTAATTCTGTGATTTTGTTATCTTCAAGAGACTCTATCCTCAGGACTGTTTAAGTTTGATGCATATGTAATAGTACTGTATTATGCAGTCATACAATTACTTGATATAAACATGTTGCATGCAAATTTGGCTAATAATAAGGCCACACAATATAAAGCTTATCTGTATTGTACTGTACTTTTTATCATTTCATATCTATTTAAAATTTGAGTCAGTTCAGTTCAATTCAAAATTAAGAAAAATGTATACCAGTATGGTTTATTGTTTGGAATATTTCCAGACCTTAGTTTCACAAGTATTGTTCTTACAATACTCTCTTGGTTGAAATGTGTTTTTATGGATTGTTCCAATACAAATTGATTTGATCATAGGCAATAGAAAGAACATGGACATGCACTTTTTCTGGAGTTGCATCATTCCTTAAATTCAAATGTCTTAATTTTTTCAGACATGGTCAAAGAAAAAAATAGTTTCATCAATTTTAATTTGACAGATAAAAAATTAAAATATTTCTAATTTACATGATGTTAACAAAAGCAACCTAAGTGTTTAGCATGTACTGGTAACATCAAGTGTATTAACTCAAGAATGAGAAAACAATGCAAGATGGCTAAAATTTTAACCAGAGACTATTGCAATATTGCATTTAAAAATATAATTGTGAACATTATCCAATTATTATTATATGACCTTTTATTGATGGTTTGGAGAATGTTAAATGATCAACTTGGAAGATGGCTACCACAGTGACAGAGGTGAAAAAACTGCAGCCTCAATGGAATCAAACACATGACATTGCATGGAACACCATTCTATTTTTTTTTATGATTGCCACAGTTATGTGCCCTTATTCTTTCTAGTGTCTATGATTTGATGTGGAGTGCTGAATTGTAATACAAAATATACTGCAGCAGTTCTTCCATAACTGCTGAGTTCAAGTGGTTTTTATTATCCACCTTGTTTACAACATTTTTATGCAAAAAAAAGACATCAAGTGTTTGTAATAATGTTCCCTTATTCAATCATGAATAAATTTATATTAATTCTTCAGAAATTGCAGGTTTGTTGAATAATCAACATTAGGTCACCAGGATTCACTAATATAAAGCCATCTCAGTAGATGGTTTCTAGTACATGTACAGTACATGTTATTATGGTTAAGTTGGGGCACACTGTCTAGTAAAGAGGATTTCAGTGACTGGTACAGACTCTAGTATATGATCCATGGTTCATTTGTATAAATGCCCTCAAATAATAGGTTCTGGGTATATTTAGGACAGATATGAGTGCAGAAACCTGAAAAGCTTCTTTCACCCTGTTGCAGCGCCACCTCTATCAATTAAAATGTTTTTGTTTTTTATTTCTATTGCTCAATAGGAGTTATTGCATTGCTTAACAATTGTTTCAATGTATCTACATCTTCCAACAAAAATATTTTGTATATACACTCCAGTAAAAAAGTCAAGAACTTAAAGTTGTCAAGTGTCTGTAAGTTCAGGTTTCAGTCAAGGATTAAGGGCCCACTAGTACAGGGACTTGCCTATAGAGGGCACACTTAATTAGAGACCCTTCAATAAAACTCAATGGACCACTCGTTCATGGATACACCAATAGAGGGCCCACTATAGACCACTTTCCCAGAAGTCGAAGATACAGCATCTACATGAGCACACAATTCGTTTTGGGGTGGAACATAAACTTGCACACATGATATTGTGCCCCTGGGTGTACCAATCAATATCACAAAACTAAAATTCCCTTCTATTGACTATCAGCAAACTGACATGTTTGTGTTGTCCGCCATGACAAAGCAACTGTATTTTTGCCCCCAGACTCGCTACTTACAGAGACCCTTCAGTTCAATAGAAACACAAGAGACCACTCATTCACAGATTCACCACTAGAGGGCCCACTATATTACAGTGACCCTTCAATAGATCAAGGGACAAGTACTGTAAAATCTGTATTAAAAGCCGCAGCTTCTATTAAAATGGTACAATGCAACAGAAGGGATGCAGCTTCTATTTGAGCATATACACATATGAGAAATAATGAATTTTTGGTTCTCAATTGTACAAAAAGATTGGGTGCAACTTCTATTAGGGATGCGGCTTCTAATACAGATTTTACGGTACGCGGATTCACCAATAGAGGGCCCACTATATTACAGTGACCTTCAATAGATCAAGGGACAAGTACTGTAAAATCTGTATTAAAAGCCGCAGCTTCTATTAAAATGGTACAATGCAACAGAAGGGATGCAGCTTCTATTTGAGCATATACACATACGAGAAATGATGAATTTTTGGTTCTCAATTGTACAAACAGATTGGGTGCAACTTCTAATACAGATTTTACGATAC